TCTTCAAAACTCGGCGATTTCTGATCCAGGAACTCAACATCCACGAAATGTATGTCATCCGGGTCATTGCTGGCTTGATCCTTTTCGGAAGTCTGCTCGTTTCTTTCAATTCGCTCATCACACATGCTGCAATCAGGAAAATTCAATTTAATACGAGCTGATTATAATCAAAATTGTATTATAATTACCTTTATAATCAATATTATATCAGGTAATTTCGCATACAACTACTCAGAGCGAAACACAAAACAGAATCTGATCGTGAAATTTGTTTTTGTTTTGAATGTGAGTTGACAGCAGCGTTGCTAGATTGTTTTAAAGCTTATCGGTATCAAATGTATTACAAAATCGGTATTTATCGGTATTTACTATTTATTTAATTTTATATTATTGCCGTTTTTGAAAGCGAAAATTTTAACGATTGTGGCGACTGGGATTTGAGGGTAATTGCTTTTTTTGACGGCTTTCTCAGTCTTAAACACTCTTTAATGTTTTTTATTTAATTTTTAAAATTATCATTGTCCTCAAGTGGTGATCGAAATTGTGACCAAGTAGTTTTTTCAATTGAATATCACTAAACGAAACCAAAATATGGATAATCAGCCACAACAACGACTAAACTATTGACAATAACGACTAAAACAATATTTTCCATTGAAAAAAGCCTATGGCTGAAATGTCGGGTAGATTACATCGTAGTCGTTGCAGTGTTTTAAGACTGAGAAAGCTGTTCATCAAAGCAAAATTTTGGAAGAAAACTCCGGAAGAAATTCCAGGGAATGTTTGAATTAGCTTCTGAATGGAGTTAAAAAACATCCAGAGAAAGACCAAAGAAGCTCTCCTGGATGAAGTTCGAGAAAAGCTGGAAAAACCTCCGGGAAACTTCCAGGACACGAATTGAGAAATTAGTGGCAAAAATTTAAATAAACTATCGGAAAAAATCGGATGTCACATCCAAAGGAATCCAGAAAAGTTTCGGAAACCAGAAGTAAATTTCCAAAAGTAGCCATTTCCAGGAAAAGCCAGAAGAAGCTCGGAAAAACCTTCCAATAGAAGTCGAACAAAAAACCTTTGGCTTATGGTCAAACTTCCAGAAGAAGACGAAAGAAATTTATAGGTGAATTAATTGAAGTTCCTGGAGAAGACGAATGAAACTTCTTGGAGACGGTGGCAGAAACTTCCTAAGGTAGATTGGAAGAACCATCTGAAGAAAGTCGGAAGCCAGAGCGTTTTCGGAACAGTCGAAATAAACAAGGACATTCCGAATGAAAGAGATTCCTGGGGGATGTTCTAATGATCCTGAAAATTTTCCTGATGTTCAAAAAACATCCCTGAAGACTCCAAAATTTCCCTGAAGTTTTCGGAAATTGGAATATTCCATAATTCTTCGAAATTCCTTAAAAGTTCTTGTAAATTTTCTGAAATTAGGGACTGTTTTGAATTTTATTGGTCATCCTCGAAGCGCTCGGAACTTCCTTGATTATAATAAGATTACCAGAATATTTCTAATCATCTTAGAAGGTCTGTGGACTTTCTTGAAGATTACGAAAACTCATAAGTGCTCTCACAATTTTCATGAATTTATTGTAACATCAGCATTGAAGTTCAATGATCTTCCCGATTTTTTTAATTTTAAAAAGTTAATCGACACTGCCATTAAAAAGCAAAGCAAAGCATACCATTAAATTTTCCTGAACTTCTTTTGACTTGTGATGTTTTCAAAATATTTATGATGTTTCTTTAAGTTCACTGGAGCTTGCTGGACTTTTCTGAAACTTCTGGGCTTTCAAATTTTAACAGAAGTTAATGAAATTGTCTTTAATTTATCGTAACTTACACAAAAGTCTGAACTTTTCTGAAGTTTCAGAACTTCTTAAATATACCTGCAGCTAGTGTGGATCCGCAATAAAAATCTGATAGCATCCTTGAAAACTGACGGGAGAAGATGAAAGAATCATTCGAACGAAGGCTGAAGAAGCTTCCAAGGTAAGGTGGAAGAAAATTCCAGGGTAAAGTTGGACAAAACTTCAGGAAGTTTAAAAATGAATAAAAACTTCCGGAAGATGTATAATGTTCAAAAAATGTGGAAAGAGCCATCGACTATTTCTTGATTGATGGGTAGCCAAACGGTGAGGAAATGCAAACATTAGTCGAAAGAGTAAAGGGTGTCCACGATGAAATTGCCACACTATGAAATTGCTCTAACTTTTTAACCGTTGGGTAGAATTTAATGAAAATTTGGGTGGATTTAGTTCATAGTGCATTATTTACATCCTGCAAGTTTTAAAGTCTTGTGATCAAAACTCGCGGAAATGGAGTCGAAAGAACAGCTCGTGCGTGATAAAATCTTGCGCATTCATCACGAGAACAAGGATCTCTCGCATCGTTCCATCGCTAAAACGTTGGGAATCGCGAATTCCACGGTGTCGCGAGTGATTAAGCGGTTCGAGGAACGGTTGACCACCGATCGGAAGCCCAGAAGTGAAGGAAAAAGTATTCCGTACAACACCAAAAATCACAACCGCGTAGTTGGGGCCTTCAACCGAAATCCGAAATCCTCCGTTAGGGATGTGGCTAAGAAGCTGCACCTAAGCCGAAGTTTTGTCCAGAAGGCCAAAACTAAGGCTGGGCTTCGAACGTTCAAGGTACAAAAGGCCCCTAATCGCGACGAGAAGCAGAACAAGTCCGCCAAAACCCGTGCCAGGAAGTTGTACCTCAACATGCTGACGAAAGTTGAATGCTGCATCATGGACGACGAAACATATGTTAAGGCCGACTTCAAACAGATCCCCGGCAACCTGTTTTTCACGGCCAAGGATAAGTTCAGCGTTCCGGAGCATGTCCGCACTCAGAAGATGTCCAAATTTGCGAAGAAATTCCTGGTTTGGCAAGCCATCTGCACGTGCGGGAAGCGGAGTGCACCTTTCGTGACCCAGGACACGATTAACGGACAGGTGTACATAAAAGAGTGCCTCCAGAAGCGGCTGCTTCCTCTCCTGAAGGCCCACAACGTCCCAACAATCTTCTGGCCGGATTTGGCCTCATGCCACTACTCCAAGGACGTGGAGTGGTATGCGGACAATAAGGTCAATTTCGTGCCGAAAATGTTCAACCCTCCCAACACTCCGGAGCTCCGCCCCATCGAGAAGTACTGGGCGATTATGAAGCAGCACCTTCTTAAACGACCTAAGGTAGTGAAGACAGTCGAGGAACTGAAGAAAGTATGGGTTTACATGCAAAAAACGGTTGATTCACAGGTTTTGCAGAATCTTATGGCCGGGGTTAAGGCCAAGGTGCGGGCATTTGCGTATGGACTGTAAATAAAATACGAGTAAAATGGTAAAATGAAGTTTAATAGTTATTTCTCAATCCCTGAAAATTTGATGGCAATCGGATGAAAACTCAAATTTTGCGAATCAATTTTGTGTGTGGCAATTTCATCGTGGACACCCTTTATCAAGCATAAGGCAACTTTAGAGATGATTGTTTAGAATTTTGAAGGCTCATAAAATATGAGGTATTCAAAAAGATACAAGTCTCTCACAAAAAATTTCCCCGGAATTCGAGCGCGGGCAGGCGATGATAATTTTGATTATTTAAAAAAAAACGGTATAAATCGGTATAAAATCTTAAAAATCGGTATTCTGAGGAACCTTATCTGTATATCGGTATCTAGTTTGTAAATCGGTATAAATACCGATAAATTGGTATATCTGGCAACGCTGGTTGACAGCTGAGAGAATTTAAATGGGGGGTGATTAGATATTAAACGTGCATCACCCCTCTACTGAAAAAAAAAATTGTCGGTGAATTTTCCCTTTGAATCCAGCATCAAAAAAAAAAAATCGAAATATGAAAATTAAACCAAGATATGTTGAGTTATTAAATTTTAAATTATTTTTTTAGTTAAAACAATAAATTGATTTAAAAAAAAGTTGGTGCATATTTTCCTAAAAAGAATTTGTTTCTCCCTAAAACTTTGTTTAAAACGAAAGTTTGAGAGCTTGCGACAGGTGTGTTATAGGGATTGATTGAAGGGTTTAACGGCTCTTTCAGTCTTTTTACTGCAGCAAAAACGTTGTATTGCTTCAACTCTCCGACGTTTCGGTGATATATTTCATCATTTTCAAGGATTTCTACAATTAAGAGGATTTAGAAAATTGGATAGGTACTGGTTGTATAGCTTACAGAGGCTACGTTTTTTTTTGTTAAGTGTATGCGTGGTTTTACATAAATCTGTCTTTGATTAATTATGGCGTCCATCTACGGCTATAATACAAATTCGGTTAGATTTGATTCTTGTTGTGCTCTACTCTACACCCAACTTACTAAGCATTTCGATCAGAAGAGATGTTTTCGAGCTACAATTTAAAGAAAAATGGTAAAGATACCATTTTGAAAAAGTAAACAAGATCTAAAATGGCCAAAATTAAGTACAAAATGTTACAATCGCTTATGCAAAGCTTCATGCAATGCGGAGAAGATCGAGTCAAAAATGTTGTTTTTGTTATTTTGCTGGAACTGCTCTATAGCCATAACTGATACACCAACCCTAGCCTAGCTCCCAGGATCGAACGATTTAAGTCCTCTGATTTGCTTTCATACCTTGAGCACACACACACACACACACACACACACATCACACGACATCATAGAATAACTGCCTCCTCCTGTGCACAATTACACGTGTACTACCCGTGGGCAATTAAATTGAGTATGGCTGTGCCTCTTCTGCACTCCAACAAACGGTCTTCTCTGTTTTCAGAAACCATTCTTCAAAGTCTCCTGCGTCTTTCTCGTCTCCGTCGCCATCGTCGTCGTCTTCGGCAAGCCTACGAGCAAAGAAGGCAGAACAATAGGTTTTGTTCTGAACCGGCGGTGTTGGCACTGTTTTCGAGTTGTGACTCAAGTTTGCATTGCCAGCCGACAAACTTGAACTAATTCTATTTCCGATTGCACCTATTCCGGTAGTTCTCATCCACTCTATTCTCTATTTTTAGATACGAAAAGAGGACGAGGACAGCGACGTCGCCAAGGAATGGAAATTCGCAGCAATGGTAGTTGATAGATTGTGCCTTATAATTTTCACGTTTTTCACAATAGTGGCAACCGTAGCTGTTCTATTTTCGGCACCACACATCATCGTTTCGTAGCCACATGGAAAAGGTTATTGTTATTGGTTTTATCATAAAATCAATTTGTTATTCATTAAATTATTGTCGAGACTTTTTAAATAAATTTCAAACCAACAAGTGAACAACATTAAGCAAAACAAAAGGGGTAGTGTGTAATCAGAGAAAATTGGAGGAAACGCAAAAAAAAATGGAGAAAAGATTATTAAGGAAACATTGAAGCAAACAAAAGCGGAACAGCGAAATGGTGCTGCGTTAGAACGAAAATACAGAAAAAAAAAATAAAAAAAAATAAGAAAAAAAACGCTAGAAAAGTGAAGAAAATCGGTAAAACAAAACAAACAAGCACAACAACCGAAAGTAAAAAAAAAAATCGAAACAAGGAAAAGGCAAAGTTTTTTGACAATTATTGCGTCTAGCATTCCATTTATTCGATCGAGTCATTTCCACCGAAAATCTCCCATCCATAGGGAGTTAGAAAATCAGAATACACTTCAGATCAATCTTTCGTTTATGGAGTTTAAAAAATCGCGAAAAACCAATATAGCTGCTGATAAGTTCCCATCGCTAGTGAGTATTAATTTAAGCGCAAACGGAAAATCGTCGAGTTTGTTTGGGGCGGTTATATATTTTTTTCGGGACGTAGAAATTTTGCTAGCAGTCTAGAGTCAGGATCGTCAAAAGCAATAAGACGCAAGCAGTATGCAGCCCAACTCTATACTAACAGAGACACAGGAAACGAACCATCGGAGACGTCAGAGGATGCAGCTGGATGCGGATTGCAGTTTGCGTTGTATGTCTTGGATTATTTGAGGTTTGCTAAGTGGAAACTGTTTCACGAGGTTCAAAAAGCTTAACAAAATTCTGAAAATTTTAATTAACTCAGATGTCTTTTCCAAAAACGTGTCACCGAGAATTAGAATGGTCACAATTTGTTTCATGGATTATCTTGTTGGATGTGTTGCACCAGAAATTTCGGGAGCAGTTACTTTGAAGAACAACACAACAACAACTCTGATCTGATGTTCTTTACATTGTTTTAATGGAATTATGAGAGCAATCCAGGATGAACAGGAGTACTCTAAAAAATCTGAGAATATTCCCAAGAATTACAAAAATTTCCTCTTGAAATACCCTGACAGTTGTGACTGATTGAAAATCAGTGGGCTGTATTAGAATTTATGCCAAGACAACTTCAAGTATTAGTACAAGACACAGAAACAGTCTGTACATTGTAGACGAAATACGCGTATCTGTCAAGGATGAGCAAATAAGGTAGTGGAATTAAATGGAAACTACTAATACTTCTCTCTCACTCAATACAAGACAACTTATTAAAAAGATTGGTAACTCGTCCATAGTTCTAGGGACATATACTCGATCAATGAGAGTAACTCAGAGAGGGAGAGAATCACTTCTACTCAGTTGTATGAGAAATTTACATCATGATTTATTCTGAATGGACGGGTAAGTAACCACACTTAGACATATACAAATTAGCAAATACGATAAACTCTTTTTTGTGCTTGATGTCTTCGCTATCAAATTCGTTCGGAGTTTTGACCACTGAGCAGCAGATGTCGCAATTGTGCCCGTCTAATAGTGTTTGCATATGAAAGCCAAAAACATTCCAACACATCTAACGCACTGTACATTAGAGCAAGGCATAGCCCTTAAAAGAACATCACATGAAAAAAAACACAGAGTCTATCGTCAACGCCGACCACAGACGATACCGACGCCCGCGCAAAACTGTCAAACAAAGGCAAAACGTAGCTAAAACTTCCAATTTCAAAGAAGTAAATTTCTAGGTGAACAAAACGAAGAAACCAAAATCTTTTCTCTAGCAAAAAAAAATAAGACAGAAAAAGCATGAAAAAAAAACTAAATTTAAGATGTTTAAGAAATTGAACAAAAGTAAACTTTTTCAGTTATTATTTGATAAAAACGAAGATTGAAAAAAAAAATTAAACCAAAAAAAAAACTAAGTCGCATGCGATCGTCGTATTAAGAGGTTACATAAATCTTTATCGTTCTCATTCTGTTTTAGTTGAAGCGATTATTATTGAATTGCAACCTTTTCAAGAACGGCATCCGGCTTCGAATTCCGGCCCGAGTGGCGAGCGAACTTGAAATCGGAAGCGGCAGGTTCGGCCGAAAGGATGCAAGCGAGTAAAGTGAAATTTCTAAATTAATAAATCAGAGAGCAAGAGACAAAGACTCACTCGCACGCGCCAGGGTGCGAGCGGGAGTAATCGACGCGAGAGTGATTGAAATAGAGAAATCTTCGCTCAAATGGTAAGAAATTAAAAAAAAAAGAAAAAGTTGCGAATCTCTTACTGGAAATCTAAGTCAGAAAATCATTTAAGAAAAAAACAGAGAAGAATCCTGTACCAATACAGAGGCGAACACGAAAGAAAGAGAGCAAGAGTAACGGACGAGCGAGGAGGGAGAACAATCCTGTATTTGGTAGCTTCTTTCGAGTTTGTGTAGTAGCGTTATTAATTGAAAAGCGGATAGCAGGAAGCGATAGCGATAAATTTTAGGACACACAAGTGGATCAAACATCCGAAGGACCCATGCAGGATAGTGCAGCAAACTGAAAGCAAAGAACAAAAAAAAATCGAAGTTGAAGGAGCAAAATTAGCAAAGGAGGAAAATATTGAAAGTCAAGTAAAAAATTTATCAACAGCAGCACGACTGTGATATATAATAAAAAAAAAGTATATTTAAATTATTATTATTAATTATTAAATAATTATTGATTAAACGTACTGTAATTATTGATTAGTGTGGTGCGGTGAGAAGAGAGAAAGATGAGAGAGCGAACACGTTAGGGAAGGAGAATAAGACAAAATGCAACAACAGCCACCACGCGAGCGTTTTGGGTAAAATTGGGAGAGCCGTTCGGGTGGTTTTCCTCTCTCCCGGAGAGCTAGCGCATCATCGAGAGCGCGCTATTGCTGAATGGGGTCTCGCTGGTTCGGGACATTCGGATCTGTTCGGAAAGCTGCGGAATGTTTGCGATTGAGAGGAATGGGATTGGGTCTTCCGTTTCTGTTTTGACGCGATTTTTTTCGCCTCTATTTTTCATCGTGAGATCTCAAATTGATACCAAATTTAATGCAACCTTACAGCTTACATCCAGCGTTGTTCCATTGGCGGATAATATCGCTGTGTTTATTTAGAATCGCCATCTTTGGAATTAATTCTAATTAAAAAAAAAAAATAGTTTACAAATATTAAAATCAAAAGCATCACACACATCATTGAACAGTCTGCAACATTTTTTGAGTGGATTGTTAAAGCCAGTACGGTGTCCAAGAGTTTACAAGAGGTATGCATTGCGGAGACGACGGACTGGAGCGTGGAAGTTGATATCCCGGAGCACACTACTGCAGTCAATATGATTACTAATCATGTCAATAATAAATAGTCTCTGCAGGAAGATTCAGCGACTCGATAGTGTTTGCAGTCCAATAAGCGCACATCTGTGTTCGAATGGTGATAGGTTATTGGCATTGGTCCATGGAAGCTATCGTAAGGCGAATCTGGACAAGATATGGACCCCAGATTTGTACTCCATATTCAACAACACTACGAACCAAGGAGCAGTACAATGTTTTCAAAGCGTGCACATCATCGAATTGCACAGCGTTGCGACACAGGAATCCATGCAAGGAATTTGCCTGAATCTCAAAGGGGGTTACGGCAAGGTGATAGACTTTCGTGTCTGCTATTCAACATCGCGTTAGAAGGTGTGATCAGAAGAGCTGGTATAGACACGAGTGGCACGATCTTCAGGAAGTCCATCCAGCTTCTTAGCTTCGCCGATGACATCTACATCATGGCACGGAACATCGAAACGATGGCGGAAACGGCTGAAGCTAGGCGGCTTGGACTTGCTATCAACCCGTCGAAGACAAAATACATGAGAGGAAGAGGTTCTAGAGAAGACAATGTTAGCCTCCCACCCCGAGTTTAAATTGACGGTGACGAAATCGAGGTGGTCGATGAGTTTGTGTATTTAAACTCACTGGTGACCGCCGAAAATGATACCAGCAGAGACATTCAAAGACGCATTATGGCAGGGAATCGTGGCTACTTTGGACTCCGAAGGACGCTCCGGTCGAATAAAATTCGCCGCCGCACGAGGTTGACTGATTACAAGACGCTGATTAGACCGGTGGTCCTCTACGGCCACGAGACCTGAACTATGCTCGTGGAGGACCAACGCGCCCTTGGTGTTTTCGAACGGAAGGTGTTGCGTACCATCTACGGTGGAGTGCAGATGGATGACGGAGGAAGCGAATGAACTGCGAATTGCAGCAGCTGCTGGGAGAACCATCCATCGTCCACATTGCAAAAATTGGGCGACTATGATGGGCTGGACACGTCGTAAGAATGCCGCACGACGACCCAGTGAAAATGGTTCTAGAAAGCGACCCAACAGGAGCAAGAAGAAGAGGCCCGCAGCCGGCAAGGTAGATCGACCCTGCGACCTGCGGACCATTCGCAGACTACGAGGCTGGCGAAGTGTGGCCATAGATCCAGTAGAGTGGAGACGACTTCTTCGAATAGCAAAGGACAACAAGGCCTTAGACTGATTTGTAAGGTAAGGTAAGGAGTGAACGGTTGAAGATAGACATAACGGGTGTGGCCAACGTTGCTGATTGTATGATCCGGACCTGGGCCATTCGATGCATCAACCGAGCAAAGGGGTTTGAACATAGCGTCATGACTGAAGCTAAGCTGCTGCAGCCGAATGTTGTAGTTCGGTAACTGGTCGATGTACTGCTGCTGCGGAGGAGTTTGATCGAGTTCGAAAACGCTTTCGAAGAAACCAGCGAAGAGGTTTGCAGAAGTGTAGCGCATCGGTGAAGGAGCTTCAATTACAGTAGGTGACGTATGTCGGAATACCAGCGAGCGTTTACGAAAGACCAGAACGACGATGGGTTTTCTTTGAAGCCACTCTGGATGTTATCGATATACTTGGCTTCTGCAAGCTGCGCACCATACTTGTGTTCAGCAGTCCTGGAGCGAAAGTATCGTTTACGGGCCTTACGCAGACGGTTACGCAGATTACGCAATTGCGGATTCCACCACGGTTATGGGCGAATGCATAGAAGGTCTACGAGCCACTATTGGAACAGTATTATGGATTACTTGATAAATATTGTCATAGAATTCGGACACGGCGGCATCAATGGTAGGTAAGTTAAGTAATTGCACCCAATCCAACACTGAGATGCTCGCATTAATAGCATCGAAATCAAACCGTGCGAAATTGTACTCATAGCGTGCTACTGGATACGATGAAGGATGTTCGCTCGAACGGATGTCAACTTTCAAAACTAACGGCTTATGAAGGCGACCAACTTTCAGAATGGCAGATGGTGGTTCATACAGCTCATTAGGATCTGAATCACTGACGAGCCCCAGGAAGAGAAGTTTACCATTCGCGTTGACCAGATCGCTGATTAGCTTAAGTCTTGCAGATAGTAAGGTCTCGACTACAGCAAATTCCTGTTCAGATGAAGCATTGAGAGGTAAGAATCCTTGGACATCCTCATCAAAGTCTCAAGCTAGATTCGGCAGGTTGTAATCACCTATAACTATATTCGTATCATGAGCATGCTGCAGCATTTCAAGGAGCTGTGGTACGAATTCGGCGTGCTTGGTATAAATGTCGAGTTGACCGGATGCACGGCTTTACAATTCAGCACGGATTTCACGAAATTTAAGACACGACCACCACGTCGTAGTACACCTGTGCGGTAATTCCGGTCACAGCGGTAGAAAGTGTGACAGTTCAGCATTCGCGATGTCAGTATGAAGCCACGTTTCTGTGAAAACCACAGAGCATTCGTTTTAGTCCACAAACCACGGACGTTTTGACAGTACACGGCCAAATGAGCACGAGTGTTGGCGAGAGCAGGATAAGAGGTAATTGTTACGGCTGGCGCTAATTACTGTTCGACGGACCCGGATCTGCGTTCAGCACCGGCTTCCAAAAATGCCGGGTCCTTGTATCATCCTCAATAAACTCCCGTAATTCGATTCCTTGTGGCCAAGATAAAGGATCCATATTCGAGGCTGATTCCAACCTTATATAATACGAAAGACAGTGTTGACAATGGCCGACCTCTTGGTATCAGCGATTTCACAACAACTTCATCCACATTCAAAGATTCCTTGCTGAGTTTCTCGATGTCTGACTGTGAAACGTCGGGTGATATTTTGGTAGGGAGACCCAGAACTTGTCTGCCGATTTATCTAGAGGGGCTGATGACACGTTGACCGCCGTTGGACCGATGCCAAGTAGAATTTTGGCTGGTTGATCAGATGAAGTGATTTCATCATCACGGTTTCTTGTTGGCGTGTTGGATTTACCAATCTTGAAAATCCGAGGAAGAGGAGATAGTAGCACTGGGAAAAGCTTGTTAAACCCTGTTTGGTTCTCCTGTTTATTCTCGTCAATCAGGCTGGGCTACAGTTCCTCCGTTATTTTTGCACAGCTGCAGTGAAATACAACCTTGTAGAAACCGCCGCAAACAACTTCTATAGCGGTCATGCTGCGTGACAAACTTCCGATGCAGCAAGGTTTATCGGTTCAGCTGGAAATGAACCACCGGTGGAGATGCTCTTAATGTAGTCCAGGTTTTAACAAACAGATGGCACCACCAACGGTGTCGATGACGGGATAGTGACGGCAGCGTTGCCGGATATACCGATTT